CGCTAGAAAGATACATGCTGGTTATGGTCGCCTTCTCTCTAGCAGGCACATGGGTAGCTTTGAAGTACTGCTCTATGTTCCATAGAAAGTTCTCTAATTCCTTAGCACTTCGGGTGCCTCAGAAGGCATTTCGTTCAAGGACCTTGATTTTTGAAGATGTCTCGCCCACAGCAGGTCGAGAATTCATGGCCCTCTTCACCATGGTCAGTTCATCTTCAAGATCTTTAAGGTTGGTTTTAATAGCGTCGGTGAGAGATAGAATGTCCGCCATCATTGTTGCAAGCTTCACATCATTTTTGGACACATAACTGTCAAAAGCCATCCTTAAGCCGACAATCGGAACAATGTATTGTTCCATCTGCACAGTCACACTAGTTGTAGCATCACCATTAGGGGGCCCCCAGAAAAATCCTCTAGATGAGTCACACGTTCATGTAATTCAGTAGCGTTTCCATTAGCCATAATCAGAAACTATAGCTCTGATACCAATTGTCACGAGGATCAAATTTTACTCGAATTTTGCTTCATGATGGTACTAAGATCCAACACTCAATCTCAGCCAACACACTCAAATGCACATAGAAATCCACACACAAACAAAATATGGGCAAGCTCCCAAACTCACAGTAGGCATACATGCTTTACAGCCTAAATGGCCAAACTTTTTATTTTTTAGCAAGCCTAAAGGAAACCAACTAGGAGTCTGCTTACAAAACGTGTCTAAACTCTTTTGGTTGCACTATAGACCCTAGCATGCCTATAAATAATATACAATATGACAGTTACAAACCCAACCACCTAGGCAATGCAGACACTCATCAGATTCACCCCCAAGACTTGTTGATCATGGTTGAATCCTTCTGCCACTTCCACAATGTGATGGTCATGGTAGGGACAGTTGCAACTGTTGGATGATCTAGCCAGCAACTGCCTATAGTTGCTCTGCATGCTATGTGCACATGCTAGCAACTTCCCTTATGTTGTGCACATGCCAACATTCTGCACATAGAACCGCCTTGTGTGCCATGCACATGCCAGCATTCTGCACATAGAATTGTCTTGTGTGCCATGTACATGCCAACAACCATCTAGAACCGCCACTATTTATAGCGTACATGCCTCAACTGCTTGGAACCACCTCACATGTTGTGCACATGCCTTCCTTGCAAGCTCACAACACCCGATTTGCCTTGCCTTCTTGCCAAGCCATGCCCAGCCCATGGCTTGGTCTTCCAAGCTAGCAATGCCCCACAATTCGAGCTCATCAACTAGCCTTGCTTGCTTGTGCCTAACGTGCCCATGCATGAGCTACTTTCCTCAGTGATGCATGAGGCTTTAATTAACCCACTAGTCATGCCTAATGTGCGCAAGGGTCTACAATGCATGGGGCTTCTGCTAATGACGGGTCCCCACCGATCATCAGCCCCATATCTTGATCTCGGACTTTGGAATGCCTTGCCTCCACCCATGGCAAGTATTTGTTGGAGCCATACCTTACTTTGGTGTGTCAAGGCTTATGAGCATAAGGGTCCCTAGGGAGGCTAGTCTAGTACCCCATTCGTGGAGCACTTCCTATAATAACATTAGTGAGCAAAACTCTATTGACAGTAACAGATATACTCTGAGTTGAGGAGTTATAATAACTTGAGTCAAGGGCATACTCGTTGCATGATACTTGAGCCTTTGACGAACCACTTTGTAACCCAACCAAGGAAACGTTCAAGTCCTTAGAAAGCCAACTTTACACTAAGGGTTTAATTCTCCAAACATAACCCAATTTGGTTAAGGCATGAACGCTTTTGGGAGACACAACCACATGCCAATGTCGATCCAACGAGCTAAGGAGGTAGCAGTAAACCACTAAGAAGAAAAATGAACAACATAGGGTTAGTCTCTACATCCCGAAAGATCACTCAAATTTCAATTTGCACTCTCAAATTTTAAAAATATCAATTTATACCCTGAAAGATATAAATTCTTATTAATGTGCACCTGGGGCTAACTCCATCCATTTTGCTATTAAAAAAGTTTGGGCTAATTATAAATTATATCCCTCAAAGTTTAAATATTTCATATTTATAATCCAAAAATAATTTCATCCATTAATACTTGGTAAAAGGTTATCGTATCATAACACTTCATGTCGTGTTTGAGTCAATTAAAAAAAATATTTTCAAAACTTCAAAAAATTTGTAATATGCTTATTTTTTGCTCAAATACTTGTTAAATAGCTATTTTCTGTCCACAGTTCGATACAAATCTTTTGATTGTTCGATCAAATTAAAGTTAGATATGAATAACACAACTGTAAACAGAAAATAGTTATTTAACGAGTATAATAGACAAAAAATATAATTTTTATTTTTTTAAAAAATATTAACTAGTATTTTATAAATTGCTGTAAATGTAAAATATATGACACAACGCAATTAATTCGACGAGAAAATAAGTTTTGTGTTAATTTTTTTTATTAACTTGAATACGACACGAAAATGTTATAACACGATACAATTGAAAGTTATTTAACGAGCATTAATGAATGAAATTTTTTTTGAATCATAAATGTGAAATATTTAAATTTAAGGCGTGCAATTTATAATTAATACAAACTTTTTTGAAGGCAAAATAAATGATAATTAGTCCTAAGTGTACATTGATACGTACTTTTATCTTTCAGGATATAAATTAAAATTTTTAAACTTTGAGAATACAAATTAAAATTTGAATAATTTTTCGGGATGCAAGTTATATTAAAGTAATCTTAGTCCAGTTCCCCCGTTGAATTTGGAGGTTTTGTTTTTAGGAAAACTTGTTAATAATTGCAAATCCATCTCATTTTTGGCCGGTTTGACAACTGAGCCGGAAGTTCAACCCCAATATTCAGGGTTCAACCGGGTGGACGCATTTGCTTTGCAAGCAAACGGAGTTGCACAGTATACTTTGTCCGCTTATATAGGTGGTACTTTTCGGAGTCCCACACGCCTTTCTCTCCCTCGGCTCTTCTGTTCATTTTCGTAAAAACCCTAGTGCCCGCACACCGTCTCCAATGGGTAATCCCGCTTTCTATCTGAATTATTTTCAATTTGCGTTCATCAGTTTTATAGCTCTACGTTTATGCGATTCGCTGATTTTTGTAAATCCAGTTCATTGGACATCGATTTTGTGCATAGTTTTGATTGCTTGTTGTTTGGTTGCCGGAGAACTGGAGGAAAATAAAGGGAACTGTTGAACTGCAGTGTGATTCAGATAAGATGTGAACGTTTGATTGCACGGTGTTTTTTTGCTGAGAATTGAAAAAACTGGAAAGAAAAGGAATTGATTGGAAAAAACTCATTACGACCATTCACAATTATTGTATTTTGCACTGTCTGTTGTCTTATGTGTCTATGTAATATATACACACATATATTGAAACAAGAGAGGAGGTTTTTTGTGGTAGCTATATATGTATGGATACACAAACTTGGGTAATTATGAGTTTGGTCCCTGACTAATAATATATGTACTTACTTGTATCTATGTGCGTGTGTGTATTTCTATACCCTCATTTTACATGTAAGTACTGCTATGATTGTTGGTGAATAACGTACTGGATTTGTTTCATATGATAGATATTGAGGAGGACATTCGAGCGTTGCAGCTTGATTCATCTGGTATAACTGCTATTGCACTATTGTGTTGTTGAATTATTAAAAATGAGGTTTTTGTGAACAATTGTTAGTCCCTTAATTACTAACATGTATGATAGTGATTAATCACATAACCCTTATTGTTTTAGAAATGAAGACATGCTATTTTTGAGTATATTTTTGAATTTTCTTGCATCCTAACAGAAGATAGTGTGATGGCTAATGCACTGGATTGCAAGCCTGATGAAATTGAAAAACCTGATAATGTCGAAGAAGGTATTTACGCCATTTCTCCTGCCTTTCCACGATTGAGTTGGCATAGTTTTTTCACGTTCTATGTCTTACACCATTTTTTCAGTAAAAGGGATTTGTTTTTATTCAAATCCTTGTAGTCAGTAAAATATGTAATGCTAACACACCCTACCATCACCTATCATTTACAATTAACAAGTTGACTGAAAAAGTACAAGTTTACCACCTTCATTAACAAGGTAAACATTTTTGGAGTAGAAAATAAAGGAAAATCTTGTGTGTCGGTGTGTGCAACTTGTAATGATGCTTACATGTAATTATCAGCCTGAGTGGGCACTTATGTTTTTTTTCATTATTTTATTCGTATAAATGTCTCTAATGATGCTTATTGAGATTACATGCCACTCTTAAATTTGGCTTATGAGGGTTAAGAATAGCTAAAGAGAAAGAACATCCAAAATCTAAGAAATGTGCTAAACTTCCTAAAGAGGCAGTCCAAATAGCTAGGCTTTCATCAGTCCTAGTACGTTTTCGGCTTGTGGATGTCAAATATGTTGTCTTCTATTTTGGTCTGATCGCATGCTAATTGTGGTTGCATTTATTAGTCGCTAGGGCTCTGCTTCATCAGGATTGGCTGAGCTTCAAAACTAGTTGGCATGGCTACTTGTGGTTGCATCAGTGAGTGTGAGGGCTGAGGAGAGAGTTCAGGTTTTTTTTCGAAGGGTACAATTTGGCAAATTATGGCTTGGGATGTGGGCACATAGAAGTCCCATGCCTTGGAAATAGGCAGGGACTTCTCCTTCTGTCAGAATCCGTTTGTGAGCAATGCTTGATAGGAAAGGGGCAAGTATAGTATTTAAAAAAGAATAAAACGGTGTGGAAATTCAAGGCTCGAGTGTCTCTCTACATATGTACAGACAGTTGGACATATTCATGCCTCTTTTTCTCTCCATATGCATTGCATTTGTACGTGTTTTCTTCTTGTATGTGTATGGAGAAACAAACAAACCCCACCACACTAGCGTACCCCTTGTATTCCCCGTTCACTACCGGCCAATCCTATTGACAACATCATTAAAACCACTTGGTTTAGGAACCAGTCATATTTAATTTATATTCAATAGAATGTCTAGGCATTTTTGTTTGATTCACTTTGGCATATCTATACTATTAATAAAGGGAGAGGAGGGGATTCATGTCCACTCCAAAATCGTCCATAATACCCTTCATTTCTTTCCAAATAACTACCCATAACTTGCTTTTTAACTCTATTCAACTGCCTCTACTTGTAAAATGTCAATGTTACCCTTTATTTCTTCCCAAATAACCACCCAACACCCTTTTTAATCTTATTTAATTGTCTATTTCTTTTTTCACTTGGGTAACCTTGTGTGCTTGATGTGTAATTTATTAATTATTGCTTGCATAATACTGTTATGGTCCTTATTATTATTAGGACTCTTACTGAAGTAATATTTGTGACTGATTGAAAGTTGTCAAAATCATTATGGTTAAGAGAAGCTATTCCTTGACATCTTATTGAACTGCCAATTCAATGCTAGCAGAAGATAGTGTGATAACTAATGCAGAAGATGGGGAGCCTGTTGAAGTTAAGAAACCTGATACAATGGAAGAAGGTAGGTAGTACCCCCGACAATGTGCACAAGAAATAATTGTCGTTCAACTTTTTCACAATGGATTTTTTTGCTTGCTCGTATCTTGCTTTTTACATGATTGAGTTGGTGTAGGGCTAATACTGCATGCAGTTATAAGTCCGATGCCATTTTTCCAGCGAAATCTTTTTGTTTTCTGTAAGAACTTTTTAGTTATCCCATGAGTGTTCCTTGACAAGCACAGGTTTGTTTTGTGAATATATCTAACCAATGCCAACACCACAAGGCCCTGAATTATTGGGATATATATGCATGTTGCGGTGCTGGGTAGAAAATTTTGTCAGATTATAAATAGTATAATATGCAGGGTGTTTATTCCATGTTCTTTTTCAGGTTTAAAGGAAGAGGTGTGTGCAAATTCTAAGGCAGTGAATGTGGAACCAAAAATGTCATTGAAGGTTTGTTTTTTTCTTTCTGTTTTAGCGTTCCCCTTTTTCTCTTTTTTATGATCTTTTGGTTTTTTTTGTTGGGTGGGGGCGCTTTTTGGAGTATGTATATCACCTGAAGTTGAGAGGCAATTTTTTTGTACTGCAAATGAGATTTATGAGCAGGTTCCATTTTACTGTACAGTAATGATGTCTTGCACTTATTATCCTACAGAAGATGCTGAAGAAGAGGTGGAAGATAACAGGAAGCGACACTTAAATGTTGTATTTATTGGTCATGTGGGTATGTTGATCTTCCCTAGTGTTCTACATTTTGGCTTTTGGAAAGGATTATAGTGCTATTTTAGTGTGATGTTGATTATCTGGTAAATATTGACTATTTTGATGTGTCATTCTTTATTGGCATATTTTGGTTGCTTCTTGCAACAAGATGGATTTTCTTGGCTTGTGCCTTATTGTTACTTGTGTGCATGTGTCTTTGTAGTTGAGCCTTTTGATCTTTTTTTTAATCTGCTGGTGATGAGTTAGATATGTGATTATCAGTTTATGTGAAAAAAAGCCTCTTTCTCACTTTATTATTTACATGGAGATGGAAAAAAAATGCACCTCTACATATTAGGTTATTGAATGTAGTCATTCATTTGCATGATGTAGACTCATAAATCTGTTGTTTGACTTTAACATCTTGGATATGTAATGTATTTATTAAATGTTATCATGTAAGAATTGTCAAAGTAAATGTACAATCATAATAGTAAAGACCTAGTAACCTTTAGGTCTCATTTCTTCTCTTCAGAAACAAAAAAAGGTTGAGATGTTAATGGAAAGCTTTGAATACAACGCTTATGGTACATAGAAAGGAGAGGAATTGAAAGAGGTATTATTGGTTGAGCATTGTCAAATATTGGCAGAGATATACTTGGGGACTGCAGTTTTATAATCTTATCTAGCCATTGTTTTTATTTTGTTTTAGCACACCAAGGTTCTTAATATGCTGCAGATTACTTGATATTGCGTTGATCAAGGATCAAAATTTTGTTTCAAAACGGTCGAATTGTCCAAAACGTTCCTATTTCTAAGGAGATCGAAACAAATCAGTGATAGAATCGAAATTCTAATAATTCGAGGTGTTTCATAATGTTTTGATGTATTTTGTAATATTCCAATGTATTTGCACAATTGTTTCGCAATGTTTCAAGATATTTCAAGATACTTTGATATATTTCGACCAATGTTTGTGAAAAATAATTTTGAACTTTTTTATTTTTTTTTCATTCTGTTTCCGAAACGGATCGAAACATTTCTATTTCTTAGGTGACCGAAACAATGCACCAAAACAAAATTTTGATCCTTGGCGTTGATATAGATTGAGCAAATCTTAGTCTTTTACTCGCAATTGCGAAAACCTTGTTCAGAATTGGACTATCTACGTTTTAGAGTGAGAGAATACTTTGGAAAAATGTTGGTTTCCAATATCTTTCCACAAAAAGCATGGTTCATAGGCTGCAAGGTGACACACTTGTTTGTAGCATATGATACATCATGCAAAGGCCCCATGGGATCCGATTCCTTAATGGCTGTTACATATTGAAATTTGGATTTAGTATCACTTTTTATTGGATGGGTTATCTCATGTAATTGGTGGCTATGAGTTGAAATTGATAGGAAAAACTGGTTTCCACTATTTCTGGAACTCTGGTTTGAAATTTTTAATATTTCATGATTTTTGTCGAACATTTCTTTTACAAATCTGGAATCACAAAAATAAACAGTAGTATGCATTTATAACTTACATTTTTCGGCTAAGACGAAGCAAATATTGAAATCCTGTGGCAGTGGAGTTCCATACTGTATCAGTTACACTTAGTAACAAGGAGGCTTGTCCCTGACATGCAAAAGTGCATGTAAATGTTATCTTGTATCAAAGTTATCTCCTGCAACTTCTTTGATACTGGGTGCTAAAATAGTGGAAAATATTCGAGTATATGTTTCCCATAGAGTTGGCTTTTTTCTTTTTGGGAAGTAACAAGTTTTATTGAAAATCCCATACTTGTATGAATATATGAACTAATTTCATATTTGGAAGGACTGTAGTTTATTATTGGGCCATCAAAGTTCATGCCACGAATATCTATATGGAAGGGCAGTTTTATTGATGTGTCCAGGTTCATAAAGTTTTTTTTTGTAATTCCCCAACTCCGGATGAGTTTTAGGCCTCCAGTGCCTTGCCCTTTTTGACGACCTTTTTTGATGCTCCCTCTCTCTAAGGGACAATGGTGGTGGCTTTTGTTTGGTAGTAATTGTGAACTCATTCCATTAGTTTTTTCCCCGAGGTATGTCTATATACTACGGTTGTTTCCAGGAGAAAGGACTTTCCCCTGAAGCAACTTACTACTTTAAAGTTAGCTCAAGCTGGAACAAATAAGAAAAAATTAGATCTAGCCAGCCGGTTGTCCTAGGAAGCTAACCTGCAGTACTTGGATAATTGGATTTAAATCTTTTGTGTTTTTTTAGATGCCCAGAATTGATTGCATTTCCAACTTGACTAAATCTGAATTTGAACTTTGAAATCTTGTTGATGGAATACCTCTCCAAAAGAAAAACAAGGGAAAAAGGGTCAGAACCAACCCACAGATGGGCAATCTTTCTGAGGTGATTTTTTTACTTGACTTGCCAAGCACAAATAAATGTATTCAATTTTTGATGCACGAGAAAAAATATAATTACTTTCACAATTGTGCTTCATTTCTTTGCCTCCTGATGTGTGTTTTTTGGCTCTGTTCCAAAAAATTCTCTCTCCCCCCCCCTTCCCTTTTTATCTTCATAATCAATAGTGATCCTTGGAGTTTTATAATTCTGATGTTCAATCTACGTTTCAAGTGAATGTTTAATGAAAATGTGAATGACCAAAAGTTGGGCTTTGTTACTGTTTGACACAGGTTCAGTCTGATTTTGTTGGTTAGTTGATGTTTTTAAATGAATTACCTGGTCAGTTACTTGCGTGATTTTTCTGGGTTGCAGATGCTGGCAAGTCAACAATAGGAGGGCAAATACTATTTCTTAGTGGTCAGGTTGACGATCGGACAATTCAAAAGTATGAGAAAGAAGCAAAGGATAAAAGTAGAGAGAGCTGGTAAGACCTCATTTTGCTTCTTTCTCTGAAATGGCATGAAATTGTGCTCTTAGTATTTCCTGTATGGAAGAACAGGCAACAGTTACAAAAATGTTTCTTAGTCACCCTTTTACTTAGGAGTGCTTAGTGTATCTTTTCACTTGGTCCACTCAATTGTTAAATCTTCAGCTTTGTTTATTTTGTAGGTATGTTAACTTGTCTTACTTTTTTTTTTTTTTTTAATGTTGTTTATAATTGGAAAAGCATTTCTATTTATGTTAAAAATTTAAAAGACATACGTGTGCCAGACCAATGGTTTGAGGGTGTGATGGGGATCGAAAAGGAATAGGATAAGCTTGTGAATTCAGGATTATGGTTTTAGATTGTATTTTAGTATTATTTCATTATTTCTGTTTCATCTGGTTTTTTTCATGATTTATTAGCCTATTTAA